TGCTAGAAAAATATCAGAGATATAACAGGGCGTATTGACGTATGACATATGTGCATAAATTATACAGCTGATGCTTACAAAAAGAATAATAATAAATGCGAGCTGCATGGATATTACCATACTGTAAATATATAATATATATAATATATATATATATATATATATATATATATATATAGCATAGGAATACTGATATCGCATAGCATGACGAGATTTAAAGTATGGCAATATCCATGCAGCTCACATTTATTATTATCCTTTTTGAAGGTACCAGCTCTGTATAATTGATGCCCAAATGTCATACGTCAATAAGCCGCATTATATCTCTATTTGTTTATCTATAACTTATCTACATTGTCTATTTTATTATTTTATTATTCTCTCTCTCTCTCTCTATATATATATGTATGTATATATATTATATAATGTAAAGAATGCGCATTATTAGCCGGTACGCATAACTCATCGCAAGTTGAATATCGATCAAAAGGCATTCAATTTTAATCTGAGGACATAGTTTACAGCACGAGCGGCCGCAATATCCTAGTCACTTTTCTGTCCAGATCACAAAAAAGCGATTATTTACGAAGTATTTTAGAAAGTATTAAGAAAAGACAACGTCTTTCTACTTCGGTCTTCCTACTTTCCAGTCCCTGCGGTTCCTTCCACCGCGAATTACTCATCAAATGTCTTACAACTGATACTGTATCGTGGAAAAAACATGCACCTGCGTTTGCACTGTGCACACTAAAGACAGTCAGAAGAGATAACCGAATGTGTGCGCAAGCAATCGGTTACATACGGACAGGAAGTCGCCTAGATTGCAAAAGTGTACTTCTCGTTTTACGATAAAGCGAATCTGACCCATAGGGGTTCATCGTTCTTCGCCGAAACCGACAGGGAGGCAGGTGTACGAATGCTACCCCGCAAGGACGCTGGGGTGCGCTAAGCTGCCTAGCTGATGATTCAACCAATAATTAACGCGATGAATTTTACAAATAGAAATGTGTGGATGCATCTAACAACAATTAATAAAATGCGCACCTCGATTTTGCCTGTCTGACGTTTGACTGGATCACGCGGTATTATGCGAATATGCTATATATGGGATATAAACAATTGAGGGATGGGATTAATCGTGTGAGAGTTGCACAAGAATTATAGAATGCAGTGCTGTGAATTTTCTAATATATTATGCTATTTCGTTCCCATGTATGCTTCTCCTACGATAATAACAGGAGTCTATCAATATTGATAAACTCCTGATAATAATGTAAGGTCACTTTCTCGCGACTACGGCTTGCTTCACTCCAAATAGGAACCTCTATTGTGATATCTGTAGTATTATAGTCTGGGATTGTGTGGGTGGTGAATGTGTGACTAGTGTGTGCGTGTGTGTGTGTGTGTGTGTGTGTGTGTGTGTGTGTGTGTGTGTGTGTGTGTGTGTGTGTGTGTGTGTGTGTGTGTGTGTGTGTGTGTGTGTGTGTGCGTTCGTGCGTGCGGGCGTGCGTGTGTGTGTGTAAGGTGATGTTTATATTTGTACATTGTGGTTCGCAGTATTAGTAGAGTATAATGCTTGTATGATGTAGGTGGTAGGTATTATATAGATTGGCAGATTGGTAATGGTGCTGTACCATTAGTTAATTGTAGTTGGAAACGAATGGCTTCCCAAACATACTTCCAGGCAAGCACGAACGGACATGCCTCCACGCACAAACGCGCACTAAGCACAAAACGTTTATTTCTTCGTTAATTTACCCTGCTTCCAAAATGTAACCGGATTAATTTATTTGTTAATCTCTGCTATTTGTTGTCTACAATTCGCCGGAGAAAGAAAGACGACTAAAACATGCCGAAGATACTCTCACACTTTCTCTGCTCCACAACACGATTTGGCCAAACCACGTCTAGATGCATCGTTCATTCACGTTCGTTGCAAGCGTCAAATATTTTAGCCGATCATGGCAGGTAATCCAGTGAGTTAATTATACACTATCTAGCCTGTGACGCAGCACTGGTTATAATAAGAAGTGCATTGTATAGTTCGATGTTAGCTACTGTTAGCAGTGTGATCTACTCGTTTAATATCTAGAGGGAGTCGTGCGCCATTATTAATAGGGTCGTCATTTATCTTACTTCAAATATATATTCACAGAACACGCGCGCAATTCCCATGAATAGCCTAGGTCATAAAATACTGCAGTAACTTACTGTTATACATAATCTGTGATGTAATACCCATAACCACGGGGTCTCCGCGTGTGGTAATCACACATTGTTGTTTTGTCTTGATTTCACGTTGTTTGTTGTCATCCTCGGCCGTTGAATTACAATGTCTGGCGTTGAGTTCCGTGCTTGTGATGACACTAAGGCATGTCCCCTTGAATGGGTTTATCTTTCAAAATGTCAATAAATTTTCCGTGGATGCTGTTACGTAACGATAGCATTACTTTGAAAAAGGATGTATTTATCGTTTAATATTAATTCTCTAATTACTCCTACTCGACAACAGAAAACCATTACCGTGCATCTACACACGCTAAAGATTACCAGCTTAGAAATTCCGACAAAAATCTTCGATTGTTCTTGAAAGCAAGCCCTCCCGTCAGTAGCCATTGTATAGCGGTCTCGCATCCCGTTCATGTCAAACGACAAGACAATTCCAGTTTCGCACCACTCTGTCTACTCCTAGAGTAATGGAAGGCCAGTAACAGCGAACAGTAATAGCGAACAGGAACGCTACAGCATCATTATTATTATTATTATTATTATTATTAAATCTTTATGGCATGTAATTCAGTAAATGTACTTGTACAGTTAGAACACGTAAGCGCCTGGGTAGGAAAGGGACGTGCCAGTGTGCCACGGGCTTCATTGTCATAGCTAGGCGACACGGTGCCCGTCGCCAACTGAGTGTCTGTACATTTGAATTTTCGCGTGGCTAACGTTCTTTTATGAATTAGTGGGCTATCCGTGTAACACACGCAAAATTTGATGCTTGTATGACAATCTGAATGATTTTTCACTTAATCTGCCCTACTAATAGAAGCATGCGCACACCGCTTGCCTCCAGTGATGATAGGTGGTCGGTACAATATCATAGTCGTGAAGGGCGCTACCACTCGCTCGTTCATCGCTTCAGGCCCAGCCGGAGAATCCAAACGCAACGAATTCACTGTGTAATTCGATTCGCAGGAGCTAACGAGATGTGACTACGCGAGCACGGAGAAACGGTAAGTGTCGCCTCGCTGTCCATCCCGTACAGACGAAATTAAGGAAACGAGTTGAAACCGCACACCTATTGCCTGCAGGTTAAACACCAAGTCGCGCGAACAGGTTTTGTACTTTCAACGTAATTCTAGAATTAATCTCCGCAAAGCAATATGGCTATATTTCATTAGGTTATGGTGTGTATCGGTTACTCATATTTTGCCTGGTGGAGCGACAAAAGCCCGTGCGGTTTGTGTTATTGGCACTTGACCGCGTGCATGGACAGTTCGCCATTGGCCATGCAATAATATTTACATTGGCGTGGGTGGCAAGTGCCTACCCCTCCCCCTTCCGCAGCTAGCCACGGCCATGATTTTGGCGTGAATATGCAACGGAGAAGAGCAACGGATAAGCAGAACGTTCATTCGAGCAAACGGTCCCGCTAACCGATATCAACGTCTTCCTCCTATTCACATTCGATTCGCGCATCTGATGATATTGCTTAGCGATTACGTGCTTCCTGATACTATTACGTCGGTCTGCTACGTACCACAAGAGATCTGCGGAAGACTCGGCGAGATAAGCCGAGCAAACAACCGTCTGCGACTGAACAGCTCAACGATAGACCGTCTCGAAAAGTGAAAGCACAACAACGGGGACAACTCAGACATATAATTAGCACTTACCTCGCGTCGAAATTTAAAAGAATTATGAATAAAAAATGAAGTGGAAAAAAAAACGGTTGCGAGAACCAAGACGATTAAACGTACAAAACCATGCACTCGGCCCCAATCTTGCTGTCAATCCGGGTTCCCGCCTGCTGATAAACATCGAGATACAACAAAAAACAAGCTGTCAATGTTGATGCGAAGGATGTGTCAGTCATTCATCAACCCGATAATCCCTGTCAACTCGGATCAATGCAGTTTCATAAGACTGCCACGCACGCTCCGCTTCCACTCAGGCGCCCTGGGTTAGAACGACGATATCCTACCGAAGCAAAACGAGTGGTGGGCCATCGAAGTACAGCAGGGCGGTGGCACACTGGTAGCAATGATTGTGCGGGTTTAAAGGCTATGCGGTGACGGTTCACTCACATAAGGCTGATGCAAGAAGGGTCAGCCGCGCATGATATAAGAAGGCTTCTACTACACGCCAATCTCCTTACCACGATCAACAGCGAGAACGAATAACAGGAAAGGCATCTACGAGTGAAATAAAAACTCGCGAATAGTAAAATTCAGTATAATATTCATAAATATAAATTGGGTTTATTAATTATTCAAATATACCTATACGAGCGATTAAGAACTCTTATTAATCTAGTTTCCGAGCAATCCACTTATCTCAGTCTGATGAGAGAAACTGTACAACGTACAAAAACAGCTGTTCACATTCATAATATTTTATAACTTCGCGCGTGACACAAACAGAAAATAACAGACAGGTCAAATTATGTTTGTATATCTGTATGCGTGTATATATATGACTTCACTCACATACACACTCCCACGCATGCACGCACACACACGCACACACATCACAACTATGTATAATGAATTGATTGAAAGAATGAATTAATAATTGATCATACTAATTATAATACATGGATTCTGATGAAGTGCATCTTCTTCTAAAATGGAAAGATATGCCATTTTAAATGACCATGAACAATTTATCCTCTCCTGACACTAACAAAGACCCTGCAGAATATGGCAATTCACTGCAAACTCTCCGTGTACCCGTATCTGCACACGTTGTACCGGTGCAGCCTGCATTCATCCCCGATATATATATATATATATATATAGCACATGCACCAATTTTGTCATTCTTGCACAACTCATGTTGTGTGTCACCCGACGACTGGTCGTGTGATTGGTATTGTGTCAGGTCTTACGGTGTAGCACAGGCGATGACCACCGACAGCTTACTGGGGAACCTCGGAGGCGGGGACCTCCGTGTGCAACACGGTGCCATCCTCGGTCACGTACTGGATGATGTACTGACCGAAGTCCTCGCCGATGACCACCTCCTCGGACTCCTGCAGGATGATTGTGTCAGCGCCGTCCGCGTTGACGACGAGACTCTCCATGTTCTCGTCGACGACGGGATGCAGCTCCACCTGGTGGCTGTTACTCTGCTCGATGATCTGCTGCAAGATCGTCGCAGCAGACGACGTCGTCTCGTCCATCTCAGAGGGCGCCACCGTTGCCGCTCCGTCGGCCGACGACTGGATCTCGACGACCTGCACGAGAGTCGTCGTGCCGTCCGGCGTCGTGATCTCCTGCAGGTGCAGCTCGGAGAGATTCGGCAGCCACGGGCCGTGGTGGCGCGAGTTCAGGTGCCGCTTGAGGTCCGGCAGATTGCAGAAGAGGAAGTCGCAGCTGCTGCACTTGTACACCTTCTGGTCAGGCGGCAGCTCGGCCTGGTTGAGAATCGGCGTGTTGTAAGAGAGACCCTTGTGAATGCGGCTGTAGTGCACCTTCATCGAGGCCACCGTGTTCGTTGTGTAGTCGCACTCGCTGCATCGGTAGCGCCGCACGCCGCTGTGCGTCTCCATGTGACGCTTCAGGTGACTCTTCTGCACGGCCGTGTAATCGCACTTGTCGCACTTGAAGATGCGGCCGAGCTCGTGCGAGCGGATGTGCCAGTTGAGCGCCGTCACCGACTTGTACTTCTTGCCGCACTCCTCGCAAAGCTGCGTCTTCTCCTTCGAGTGCTTCAGCTGGTGCACTTTCAGGTTGTTCGCGCTGCGGCACGTGTAGCTGCACTTGTCGCACTTGTACGGCCGCAGGCCCTCGTGTATCCACGTGTGCTTCTCGAGGTCGCGCGCGTTCACGAACACCTTCTTGCAGTACTTGCACTTGAACGAGCGGCGGCCGAGCTTGCCGTGGATCTTCAGCTGCTGGCCGGTGAGCTGCAGCACGATGTCGCGGTCCATGTTTGGGTGCACGCGCGCGATGTGGCCGCGCAGCTTGCGCGCCTTCGTGAAGCGCACGCTGCAGCCGGGGCACGTCACGTCGATGATGCCCGCGTGCGCGTCCTGCTTGTGGTGCCACGCCTTCATGCGGCTGTTGGAGACGTGCGCGCACAGCTCGCACACGTACTGCTTCTTCTCGTGCACCTTCTCGACGTGCCGCCGCATGTTGTCCTTCGAGAGCGCCTGGAACGCGCAGCCGTCGTGCTCGCACTCGTACACTTTCTCGCGCGTGTGCACGTTCACGTGCTCGGTGTAGTCGCCCTGCCGGTGGAAGCGGCGGCCGCAGTACATGCACTCGATCGCGCCGAACGTCTCCTGGATTTTGTTGAACACCTCGACGGTCAGCGGCCGGTACTTGCAGATGCTGTAGATGCTGTCCTTCTGCAGCAGCGGGTGGTTCAGCTCCTCATCAGCGTGATCGGTGCGCAGCGCGTCGAGGACGCCGCTGCTGTCCAGCCCGACGACCTTCCCGCCCGCGCCGCACTGAAACGTCGCGATGCTACCGTCGGGCTCCGGAAGATAGATGCTGCTGTTGATGCTGTTCACGTAGAGAGAGTTCAGCTCCTCCTGATCGTCGGTAGCATGCTCGCGCAGGTGAGCCAGTAGGCTCGTCGCGCTGAGGATCTTCGTGTTGCACACACTGCACAGGTAAAGGATGCGGTGCGTCTTATAGTGCTTCAGAAGGTACTCAGCACGCGCGCTGACAAAGTCGCACAGCTCACACAGCATCGAGTTGACGCTGCGAATCTTGTGCACTGCCAGGTGGCGTGTCAAATCACTTTTACTCTTACAGCGAAAGAGACAAATGTCGCACTGGTGTACGTGAATTTTGTGCTTGCCCTTTCGCCGCTTGCGCGCGTAGGGACTCAACTTTGGCTTATTGTCTAAGATTTGCAGGTATCTCCTCCCATCGTTTGTAGTCACATGGTGCTTTAAAACGTGGTCTCGGAGCAATTCCTTTGAGCTGTATGAACTGTCATCGTTGCATAACTTACATTTACTCAGGCACGGTTCTGCATGTTTCTGAACGTGAGCCTCAAGAGACAAACGTGACAGGGACTTGAATTCACAGAGTTTGCATGTAAAGAGATTGCCTGTGTGTTTACGCATGTGAGCAAGCACGCTACTTTTGCGATTGCTCGCGTAATCGCACTGCTCCTGTGAACACGTGAATGGTTTAAACTGCGTGTGAGTGAAACAGTGCAGTCGGACGTTCTTCACACTGTTAAACACTTTCTTACAAACACGGCAATTGTAGACAAAGAGATCCCTATATTTCTTCATCTCTTCATTTTTGAACAGGTCACTGTCTACCGTTTGCTGAAACTTGTACGGCTCATAGAGTTTGTCGACCTCTGTGTAGTCGATGGTCTTCTGGAGATGTTCTTCGAATTCTAACCTCTCCGCCTCCGTACTAAAAACAGGAAGAGGCTCCTCCTTTTCGCTTTTGGGTTGTACAGCTGTAGCTACAGGTGTAGTGCTAGATGGTCGATTATCAGGTGCAACAACTTCTTCCTGCAGGAGCTGCTGCCCTTCTAGAGCTTCCTCAGTAGCTACAGTGTCAGTATCTACAGTTGGTGTCTCTGTTGGAGCATCCTCTACAGCAGCTTCCTTCTCCACTTCTCCAACTTTCTCTTCAAGAGGCACCCCCTCACCTGTCATGTCTACGACAACCCACATTCCTGTATCTTCCTGCAAGATCATCTTCACTTGTCCATCGTCATCCGCACTATCTTCGCCCTGTCCATGCTCACTCTCATCCAGAAGTGAGGTCTCCTCTCCACTCTCCACGATGGTTTTCCAAGTATTTGACCAAATAGTGTCAGCGTCACCACCTGCTTAGTGCCAACAAAGACAAAAGTTTGCATTAGGCATGTATCTGATAAACAGCCATGTCACTCTAGAGGTATTTGGTGCCACTTTATGCCAAACATAAATGACTTTCTGGTATTCCAAAGTTACAAGATTAATTACTTATTCAAGAAATAATTTCATTATATTAAATGAATAATTAATAAACATTTTAGTGATACAATTAATTGAATTTATCAACATTTTGAAAATATTAACAATAATAGGGTGAACTCATGAATGACAATCACTGTTAACTATTACTGTTAATATTAAATTTCAGGGTTCATAGTAGTAAGACACATGTTGTAATAAGGACTTATTCCCTTTCTGGAGGCCAAAATAATACTTTTTTACGCGATAGATCACCGACTATTACAGTACACTAATAATATTTATATACACAATTGCACAGCAGATTTAATTATTCCGTATTATATATACAACAATTATACTTCTCTACTACTTCTCAAGTCAGGAATTTCGCCGAAATTTAACACAGAAAATGTTTAAAAATGGTCCTTTGGCAAAAAATGACTATTAAGTACTTTTCTAAGATTTCACCAAAAATAAGTACTAATAAGAACCCTTATTTTATTTTTGGCAAAATAAGTACTTATAAGACTTTGGAAGACCCGCTACGAACCCTGTTAATACCAACGTTCTGTACCGACTATCCTGTACTGAGGCTACAATTAAAAAAATCTTTGCTTGCCCTCACCCGACCCAGGCTGAAGTTTGGGTAGGTAGGTCGGCTTTTTTTTACGGCAGGGGTCTTTTTATAAATTCAGCATGGTGTCTACATGCTCGGGTGTGCTTGTGTGGAGATACCTCTTATGTTGAATGTTTGTTTTGCTTGGTACATATAATGTATTGCCTACAGATTTATATAATGTACAGTGATACAATTTGTTTAAAAAAAATTGGTAAAAAATTAAATATCAAATAATTTTTTTGAGTCGGACCCTTTTTGACGGGTCGGTCGGGTGAGGGCAAACAAACAATATCTTTATTATGGCCTGATCGATCAGCAAACTGGTGCACCGCTACGCTGCTATATAATGTTTCACAAAATGAAATCAAATTCAACATTTTGCTGCATGTGAACATGAATGTACAAAATCATTGGCTAAATAACAGCTTTTAAAATGAGAACAAACTAAGTTCATACCACTGCTTCCAGTTTCTGTGAGAGGAAATGGTTTAGAATCGGCATCGATAGAGGTGGGGTCGACCGGGGCAACACGTGTTGCTATAGGGGTTCCACGCCTGGAGTATACGACTGAAAAAAATATTCGCATGTTAAAGGCATAGATTATTATATTGATATTTTTAATAGGCCCATTGATTATGCAATGTTGACAAATGCTAGAGTAACTGGCACCTTTTGTAGTTAATAAGTACATAACCTCATAGCCAAACGCGTATTACACTATGAACTAGAAAGTCGGAGAAAATACGGACTAAACACGGAAATGTTCCAAAATTAATTATTAACATGCAGCGTGGCAGTACTCACGCCCGGGCGCGGGCACACGGCATCTGGAACCAATTGTCTACTAGCGGAGGTACTGAGTATAGTATATATATATATATATATATATATATATATAACTGTCGTTACGTTTGTCTATAAAAATATATTAAGCATTTTATATAAAATATTTGGTTTATTTTTAATTGCCCTGAGAGAACTTGTAATACGATCAAATTCGGGCATCAATTGATGCAAGAAGAGCAACACGGCACGCGCGTTTTGTATACGACAATTCTCAATACGACACGCAGGCACGCGATTACCATTGTGTCACACGCCAGCCACACGTACAATGCTTATAGCGCTGCACCAGTTTATACCAGCCATACCAGCCAGCGCGCAAGTCGTTGCCTCACTCCACTAGTAGACTAGGTTCCAGATGCCATGCACCCGCACCCGGGCGTAGGTACTGGCACGCTGCCTGTTAATAATTAATTTTTGAACATTTCCGTGTTTAGTCCGTATTTTCTCCGACTTTCTAGTTCATAGTGTAAAACGCGTTTGGCTATAAGGTTATGTACTTATTAACTACACAAGGTGCCAGTTACTCTAGCATTCGTCAACATTGCATAATCAATGGGCCTAGTATGCCTTTAACATGCGAATATTTTTTTCAGTCGTATACTCCAGGCATACGAACTGATTTGAATTAATGCATCTAGACGAGCGTACTTAGTAGACGTGTTTCGGAACTGCTCCAGCAACGAATCGATATCTCAAGTTGGGTTAATTCTACCGTAATACTAATAGTAAATACACTAAACTAACATAGATAATCAACACATAAATAACCTTGAGCCCTTTGGCTTATAATATTTTGCCTATAAACCTTTACTCTCTACATTTTAGTGTGTGAACATAAATCACCGGCTGAATTTGACTATAATCATGAGATACTAATGTAAGTATCTTATTATAAGACATAGTTAGATATCACAGTGTGAGTGTTATAATATTCGCTTTACCACGAACACGGTCCTTTTTATCGTATATGCTGTGTTTTACCGGGGTGACCGCCGGAACGAAGACTTAACCAAATAGATACATCAGAATAGGTTAATTTGAAAATTAGATAGGATAGTTGCGTGTTCTGTGTCGTTTGTATTGTGGTGTCTGATTGCACAAAGTCAAAGTAACCTAACGACAGTACAGGAAATATATTATTGACATATTGCATGAGAAAGCGACATGACTGATCCAATGAGATGCCTAGATGGTAGCACCAAGAAAAAGACCAAACAAAGGAATGGCGGTGAAACGACATGGGAGGGGTGTTCAGTACCGGGCAACTTAATGCGGACTAATGAAGAATAAAACCTTGTGAAAGAACAAATGATAAACAATGAAGAAGAAGAGGATAACAGATAAATCAATAATACATACGCATGGATAGAACAAGTATGGTTACAATTGAACCAAGGGAAGATATACAGGAAGGAAATGAAGATAGAGCGGATGAGAATGAAGTGGTAAACGTGGCTAAAGGTCAAAGACAAAAAAACACAAGAAGAATTAAAGAAACAAGAGCCGCAGAGCGTCTGGGCTCATCTGAGGTCTGTGGCTCTAATAGCAAAAGCAGTTCACTCCTTTGTTAACAGTCAACAAATCCATGTTTAACC